ACATGCCTATTTTGGTGATTTTTTTGCCTAGTTTTAAAGCTGAATACAGGCTCCTAAATCCCCTAGCAAAAGCAGTGCTTTATTTTCCCAAATGATGAAAAATAAGGAATATAGTTTCCTGATTTCAATAAAATTAAGGTTATATTTTCCCAATTTTTGGAAGAAAAAACAATGATTTTATTAACAATGAAAACTTGAGTTTTAAATCTGAGACTGTTTCATATTTCCTGGCCACAGTCGAAAAGTTTTGACAAGTGTATAAAACCTTCTGGAGTTCCTAACAGAGGCTGTATATATTAACCCTTTCGCCACTCAGACTATAATGGACTCATCCAGATCAATGCATGGTAGAGTCTTCTAAAGTTACATAGGGGTGAAAGGGTTAAGAACGAACAGGATAAATTAACTCATTGACCCCTGAAACTTCATAATGAACTATTCCAACCTTTGAATTAGAAGAGTTCAAATTTGTCTTCAGGGGTGAATGATCGAGTTAAGGATTCTGTATACTGGGAAACTATTGCCAAGGTCAAACATTCGCCTTTCGCACACAAAACAAATTTTTGCCCAGTGTTACTATACTTTGCCTTTCACATTTGCTTGCTATGAATATTATGTTGTTAATTTATATTTGATCTGATGGTAATTTCGCCATCATTACGGAGGGCGAAAAATATAGTGCGGCAACAATATCCCAATTAACCCTTTCACCACTGTAGACCATAATGGACTCACCCAGATAAATGTATGGTAGAGTCTATTAAACTTACTTAGGGGTGAAAGGGTTAATACAGTGATATGGAGATTCTGATTTAAACGTTGCAGTGGACACAACAGAACCATGTCGGGTATTGATTAGTCACTTGATGTCACTTTCAGTAACACTGCCATCAATCAATGCATGGTCTTGACTGGAGCAGAATGAATTATCATGTCCTGGTTTATACACAACACTAAAATTAAGGCATTGATCTTTGCTTAGCTGGATGCGCATAGAGAAATATGCATAGAAATACATTTTAAAATTGGTTGCTTTTTCTCCAAAATGGTGAAATGAATTGTCAATCGGAAATTGAATATTATGATTTTTTTTGTAGCTTTATATTTTTAGTGTCATTTTTGGAGGAATTTTTGAATTCTGACCTTTTCTGTGTAGAGTAAATTCACATAAAAACATCAATACGCGAATATATATAAATAGATTATAGATATATATTAGGGCTGGGACGAATCAGGATTTTTCCGAATCGGTTCGATTTCGATTTTGATCCCTTCAAATCGATTTTTTCGAATCGATTCACTAGATACACACTTTCTCATATAAACATAAGAATCAAGTAAAAAACTTTTGTTTAATGTATAACAAAACAAAAGTAACAGTTTATAAAGTAGCCATGGTAACATATTAAAGTTTTTACCAAGTTAGTTAAAATGTTTTCACTGCTAGGGGTAGATCGTGTTGATATATATTGATTGCTGCTAGTCATTAATTGAAATGCCATGCTTTCTTTTTAAAAGATTTGACATCGAAGACGTAGACACTGTTTGGTATTTAAATGCAGTGTTCCCTGTCACTTTTGTAATTGTTTTTTTTTTGTACCCCATACCTCTCAAAATGGGGGTATGGTTGCATATATTAGGGCTACAGTACACCTTATCTAAATCGCCATGGGTATGTAAGATCATCACAGAATTGTTAACTTATTGTAGCAATGTCATTTTTACAGGTTTTTATATATTTCATAATATTTCCAGTTTGTCATAGAATAAAAACACCAAGAATTAGTCAGTAACAGAATGAAAATTGTGTAAGGAGGCAGTACCCAAATCGGACCAGTACCCAAATTGGATCACTTTTGGCAAAAATACTTATACTTCAATAAATGTGCCAAAAAATCAGTTATAACAACGATGTATTCTTAGCCATGCAGGCATGCATCAGTTTATTTCTACAGATGTTTTTAAGTTGAAATTGCACAAGAAAACGTAATTCAAACTCAAATGTCAGTGTTTTGATTACGTTTTTAAAAATGGCGTGTATTACTGAAACAGAGATCATGTAACTTACCCACACTGGGCACAGACAGTCATCATGTAATAATATAAACTGAAAGTTGTCGTCTTTAGCTGACGACTGAAATCCAGATAGAGTCTGCTGGTTTCTTTCCGTCATTCATGATCAATTATGCAGTATAGTGATAATCAACCCCGAGGATACCGATAGTCCGGCTACGCTCTCGGGTATTATCCTAGGACAGTGCAGACTCATTACCTCCCGTAGTAAATATATTCGCCGCTTGGCGCGCTGCATGCATTGTTTACTACCGGACTTCCGTCATTCGCGGGAAATTCTGACAGTCACTTTCAATCTTCTGAATATCATCATTTAAGATATAAACATGCTACAACNTAAACATGCTACAAAAATGACTTAACATTGTACAAAATTATTGTGCATACAGTCACGCTTAGTATGAAGAATTGGAACCGAACCGATTTCCGGAAATCCTTCTCGGTGATTCGATTCGAAAGTTCTGATTCGCGAAGCACCGATAATTTTGGTGCACCGCACACCCTTAATATATATACAAAATATTGATTTCAGAAATGCTTGTAATTTAATGCAAATGTGGAAATGTTCACACCGCGTCTCGATCCTTACATGGACCTGTATGTGTATACATATCTGCATTTGATAGTTGATGGATTTCTGAAGGAATTCAAAAGTCCAGGACAGTATAGGTATAACTGTGAATACCACCAAAGTTAGGCTCGATCATTTTTGTGTGATATGAATAAAAGGGTAGGTAATTCTCTGTAAAAGTTTCACGATTTGGCAAATTAATTTTGTCTCGCTGCTACGAAGTGGAAGCAAGACTAAAATTAGGTGTTGCTTTTCCAGCAACGGCGTCAGCATTAAGTTTTTGCGTTTAAGTTAGTTTCTCTGAAAGTATAAGTGCTGGAACAACCAAACTTGGACCATAGAGGCATCTTAGGTAGAAAATCTCAACCAATGCATCAAATGCTGGATGCAGCCTTACCTTTCATGGTCCATTGACTTTGTCAGCATCTCCATCAACTTTTAGTTTTGCGTTTTAGTAATAGTCAAAGCGGGGCATTTGCGAGACATATCAATCTGAATGGCTTGTTATATACTGTTTAGTTGCTAATTAATATTCAGGAGGGTTTTAATTTTGGATATTTCGAGGTCGTCGCCATATCATCCACGCTTCACACGTCCGTGATATCAATTGATCTGAGGCGGCTATAGGTCACATCGTCGTTTTGAAAGATGCATGGTTTGGTTTGGTTTAGTATTGTTTGACGTCCTATCAACAGCCAAGGTCATTTAAGGACGGCCTCCCCTGTGTGCAAGATAGATGCGTGTAGTGTATGTGTGTGTGTTTTGGGAGGCTGCGATATGTTCGTGTTTGTCTCCTTGTGATAGCATGGAGCTGATGCCGACTTGATAGTGCTACCTCACTGAAACATACTGCCGAAGACGTTAACAGTTAGGATACAAAAAATAATGATAATAAAAATAAATAAAAAAAAATCTGAAATAGACCTACAGAAATTGTGATTCGCGAAATTAATCTTCCGCCAATAAGTTCAGGAGACAAAATCGCGAAATTTTAACCCCGTGAAATTTAACAACTATACAGTAGTATCACTGAACATTGAACTCATGCTGGGATACTGAAACCAACTTAGCTAACTGGTCACCTGTAGTGACCTGGATAAATCTCACATCATACAAGTTCAAACACAATTTAATACAGGGAGAGCAGTTAGACACCCAATGTCTGTTTCAATGTTCCATAAGTTTGACATTTATTTACTTAGTGACAGTTGACAGACTTCAGATAGAATTCAACAGTGCAGGATAGGAAGTAACAGAATTCAATAGTCCAGGACATGAAGTAACAGAATTCAATAGTCCAGGACAGGAAGTAACAGAATTCAATAGTGCAGGACAGGAACTAACAAAATTCAATAGTCCAGGACAGGAAGTAACAGAATTCAATAGTCCAGGACAGAAAGTAACAGAATTCAATAGTCCAGGACAGGAAGTACCATAATTCAATAGTCCAGGACAGGAAGTAACAGAATCCAATAGTCCAGGACAGGAAGTAACATGATTCAACAGTCCAGGACAGGGAGTAACATAATTCAATAGTCCAGGACAGGAAGTAACAGAATTCAATAGTCTAGGACAGGAAGAAACAGAATTGAATAGTCCAGGACAGGAAGAAACATGATTCAACAGTCCAGTACAGGGAGTAACAGAATTCAACAGACCAGGACAGGAAGTACCATAATTCAATAGTCCAGGGCAGGAAGTAACAGAATTAAATAGTCTAGGACAGGAAGTAAGAGAATTCAATAGTCTAGGACAGGAAGTAAAAGAATTCAATAGTCTAGGACAGGAAGTAACAGAATTAAATAGTCTAGGACAGGAAGTAACAGAATTCAATAGTCTAGGACAGGGAGTAACAGAATTCAACAGTCCAGGACAGGAAGTAACAGAATTCAATAGTCCAGGACAGGAAGTAACATGATTCAACAGTCCAGGACAGGGAGTAACAGAATTCAATAGTCCAGGACAGGAAGTAACAGAATTCAATAGTCCAGGACAGGGAGTAACATAATTCAACAGTCCAGGACAGGAAGTAACATAATTCAATAGTCCAGGACAGGGAGTAACATAATTCAACAGTCCAGGACAGGGAGTAACATAATTCAATAGTCTAGGACAGGAAGTAACAGAATTCAATAGTCCAGGACAGGAATTAAGTAACAGAATACATAATACTTAGTGACTCATTTCCCACTATTCTATTTCTCAGGATTCAAACTACTTTTTAAAAAAAGAAAGATAAATCAAATACTACTTTCTTATTATGATTCAAGGATGGACAGTTTCGGTTTGTTGGATGTAAAATGGCTATATATCTTATGACTGGGTGACTGACATAGCCATCAGGAAGTAAGGAGTTTGTTGTGAAGTGGGGTGATTCTCAGTTATAAATTCAAGATTTGACAGTTTGTTTTCATTCAGTGTCACTAAATGCCCATGCTGGGATTATCCAAACTGGTAGTGATATGGTTTAATCACTGGGGTGGATGTTTGTTTACATTTGTAACAGAAAAGGAGAGCAGTGTGCTTCAATCAGGAATCAAACCTGCAACCTGAGACTTTCTAGTCGGGACGCTCCACCTCTGAGCTAAAGGGAAATTCCCTCTGGCAAACACCTAGAACGGCAACCATAATCCTATGTACAATTCAAATCTACCCAGATAATACCAACATACACAAATTGCACTGAATCTCGGCCTTTGAAAGTACCGTGTGTGTGTTCGTTAATTACACATCTGCCAAAGACCTGCAGTATTCACAGATGTGTATATTCTATGTTTACCTGTATACAGCATGTAAATGTGTATATATTAATATATACTGTGACTTGTGACTAAGACATTCTGTTGATACAACCCCCGAGGTGTTGGCTTCCTCGGGTCTGTGACTGTTTAACCATAGAGGGGTTGGTTTACATAGATTGTTGCCAATATTTATTTTATTGAAGACAACACAAAAGTTACTTTTCCTATGCAACCTGGCGGGGTTAACTCAGATGATATGTGTTACGTAACCTGGGGATGGTCTTTGTCAGGTAATTATATACAAATATCAAGTAAGATGGAGAATGTTTATGTGGCTCTGAGTCAAAAACATGTGTAAGGGTTCTTTTTCGTAGATGATGTCATACAGACATCAAGTAAGATCAGAAGAATGTTTATATGGCTCTCAGAGTCCGAAACATGTATAAAGGTGTTCTGTCTCAGCTGATGTCATACGAACATGAGGTGAGATGGAGAATGTTTACAACATATCTACATATTTCATTCATCTATGATTATGTACGTGTTAATAATAAGTTTACACTACTAAGCCATCAGCTCATTAAAATTCCATTAAAAATAGCTAAAAACACATTAAAACTCATAACCCCTTAAAGAAGCCATTATTTTTTTTCGAAATCACCAGGATTTATCATTCTCAGTCCATGTTTATTACATGTCAGACCGTGGCTATACTTCAGCCCCTTCTACCAGCTTAAATCTCCCCTAGTATAAAACATTCAGATTTTGATAATTTCGCAGTGTGAACAATTTTCAGTTTTCATGGCATAAGGAAACAGTACTTTATGATGTCATATATATATTCTTCCTTTATAATGTCATTTGTCCAATTAAAAACCCATGGGATGTTATGCAACATAGAACTGACCTGAATATAGATTTTTAGCCCACCATCATCTGATGGTGGGCTATTCAAATCACCCTGCGTCCGTGGTCCGTTGTCGGTCGTCCGTCGTCCGTCCGTAAACAATTCTTGTTATCGGTATTTCTCAAGAAGTACCAGAGGGATCTTTCTCAAATTTTATATGCAGGTTCCCCTTGGTCCTTAGCTGTGCAGGGCAACTTTTGAGACTGATCGGATAAACAACATGCCCGACAGGCAGCCATATTGGATTTTGATAGTGAAAGTTTGTTATCGCTATTCCTCGGGAAGTACGGGAGGGATCTTTCTCAAATTTTAAATGTAGGTTCCCCTTGATCCCTCGTTGTGTATGTTATATTTTGAGACTGATCATAATAACAAAATGGATTAAAAGAAGAACTAAACAGATCTTTCTCATATTGCAATGATCGATTCTATTTCTTTCACATTAAGTACTGTACTAGTAAATATGTGAAATGACAAACTCACTTTGAAGGTTGGCTTTCATACACATCAGTATTAAGTTTAGATCAAAAGTTACCTCAAGGTGCATTTAATGTTAACATGACTCGATCAAACAGATCAGAGGAAAGAAGACAAAAGATCGAACTGACAAAGAACTAATGAGGATGGTACAATGGTGGGCGCCAAGATCCCTCTGGGATCTCTTGTTAGCATATGTTATATTAAAACGGAAGTTTTTTTTCTTCAGGATATCTATATAAGTTTGTTTTGTTCAAATTAACTACTTGCAATTTGGAAATTTAAGTTTCTATGAGGATGTTCTCCGAGTCAAACAGCATTGAAAAATTAAAAGAGCAATTAATGTACAGAATACATTAAGAAGAAAAAAGATTCTATGAATTTAAAAATTGTAAATTAGTATCAATCATAAATCCTTGCCTGAGATATTCCCTTCAAGCTGACACTTTTGTCTGGACTCTATAACATAAATAAATAAGTATGAGGTCCCAACCAGTGCTGATAGGTCTATGGATTTAAAATTGCTATAAACATTAATTTATTGTCTGGACTCTATAACATAAATAAATAAGTGTGGGGTCCCAGCCTGTGGTGATAGGTATATAAAGATGGCTTGAACCATCTGTTGCTGGAGATCTCTCTTGGGGGTCAAAAGTGTTTGGCCTTCTGTACGAGTTTACTGTGTGTGTTGGTTTAGCTGTCCCTCCTTCTCCTCCTCCTTCCCCTTCTCCTGCCCTAACTCTGTCTGTTTGTTTAGCTGTCCCTCCTTCCCCCCTCCCCGTCCTTCTCCCCTCCTGCCCTAACCCTGACCAGATGTGAAGCTCAGCTCCCTCAGGTGTCCTGTGGTGCTCCCTGCTGGGTATATAGAGACACTGATATGGCATGGTGGAAATATAGGTTCAGGATGCAGTTGTTTAAGCCTCACTAGCTTTTGGACCAAGAATAAATTATATAAAGCAATTTGTAACAGGTCCTAGATTAGTGCGTTCAATTTTCAATAAAGATTATTTGTCATTGGAGAATTGAAAAGAAGATTCATACTTGCCAACTCTCCCTATTTAGGAGGCAGACTCCAGATTTTGGACCCTTACGTAAGTACCTTCAACCAGTGAATTTGCTAAACTATTCCTATATTCTCTGATCTTGTGATTTCATCTGAAAGAATAACTCAAAATATGCCATTTTAAATGGTCATTCTGTCTGTAGGGGGTATATAATGCACATTTTATTTATGTTTTAATTTGGGCAGAAATCTCCCCCATGGACATTTCAAAAAGTTGGCAAGAATGAAATATTTAAGACTGACTTGACCTGTTGGATATGATTTCTCAAGAAATTTCAAAAATGTTCACTTGCTTTTCACATAAATCGATAAGTTACCTGTTTAAACATAAAACTTTAAAAATCTCTGTGACACATTTCACTTTATTTCCCGTTGTCTGACATTTGACACATGATATTGATAGAACATATTAACTGGATGATTCATTAAGTGACAATTCATTATATTTAGAAAATAAATCATAGCATTAAAAGAAATTCCTGCAGGTAGGCTGAAGAATTATACCTGCACTGTCCCCATTGAATGATCGGAAGAGATGACTAAATTTGGGATCTTATCTTTTCTCTTCTTTCTAAACAACTTTCTTCTTCCTAATGTCTCCCTTGACAATGCCTCACTTTTGGCCTTTAGTTGAGCATTCACCCCTGTGAGGAAGGCTTTGGGTTCTGTCCCCTGGCCGAAACATACCAGAGGCTGTAAAAATGGTAGATTCTTAGCTCCTCCTTAAAGCTCAGCAAGTTAGGAGTGGGACAACTGATTCGCTCGTTGTCAGTACTATGTGACAGGGTGGGGCGTCCTGCTGGGTGTCTCCGGCAGTTTGTTTCAGTGAGGTAGCACTATAAAGTTGGCATCAGTTCCACGCTATCACAAGTAGACAAACACAAACATATCACAGCCTCCAAAAACACACACGCATAAACTACACGCTTGCATCTTACACACAGAGGAGGCCATCCTTAAATGACCATAGCTGTTGATAGGACGTTAAACAATACTAAACCAAACGTACTTAACTAAACCATTAAAAGAAATTTCATTACATTTACAGAATAAATCATGACATTAAATGGATAGCTCATTGACATTAAGAGGTTGACTCATGACATTAAGAGGTTATTTATATATAACTTGTGACATTAAGAGGTTATGTATATATAACTTGTTACATTAACAGGTTATTTATATATAACTTGTGACATTAAGAGGTTATTTATATATAACTTGTGACATTATAGGTTATTTATATATAACTTGTGACATTGAATGGAAATTTATGAAATCAAAAGGATAGCTTATGACATTGAAGAAAAAAATCATGATATTGAAAATCTCTCAATAAAAGGAGCTGTTTATAGTTCAGGCTTCCCAGCATGCCTCTGAAAAATCCTTGCCCATGTTTACAGAAGAGCACCAATTACCCAGCGTGCATCTGCAGGGTGGTGGCAGAATTAATAGTTATGGGGCAGGGGAGTATTTTAATGGGAATACCATGAATACTACATGATAAATACCTACCGTACTACAACAGGGAACTGATCAGGAATCTCTGGGTTCCTTATTATTCAAACAGTTCTAAGTGTTCGAACTCAGATTCTCGGCTCTACCTCAGTTGATTGTACTCGGAAGATAAATTGAAAGAAATTCACATTTTCTTCATGCTTAGTTTGCTTACCATATCACATGATTTAAATGAGTATAAATCAAGAAGTTGGAGCACAGCTAGGATCCATCCTTGAGCATAAAGAAAGGTTAGGAAAAAGGTCAGAGTTGAGTTATGTTCAAACACTCACTGCACATGGCTCTGAATCGGTTTTGAAAATGTCGTCAAAAAAATGAATATGAAATTTGCTGCAAATAACATCATAATTCATGAATTTTTCTACATCAAATAATTCATGTATGAGTTAGTGAAATTTTCTTAAGAATATTTATATATATATATATATATGCATTAACTTTTAATTATTTTCTAAATCCTATGTGTAGATGTGGTGAGATTATTTGGGAAAAAAGGTAAAAAAAAAAAAAAAAAAAAATATAGTTCCACCCCAACAGATTTCATATATAGTGTACATAGTACATGATACTACAACTTTTATGTATCTTTAACGATTTTTACACAAGGTCAAAGGTCAATGGAATATTTAAAGAAGTTGCTCTATTCCATCACGGTTGTAACTATACTGGTGATACCACTTCAGATTTAGGTCCTGCCATCTGTCCCTTAATTGGTAAAACTAATTTCTGACTTCCAGATCTTAATTCAAAGTGTGCTGTAGACCCAGATCTTTATCTGTGTACCTTGGACTCTTGTAATAAATGAGCCATATCTGAGGAAACAGAATCCACTAGTATGGGTATAGTTGTGCTGTAGGATGGTGCGTGCCTCCTTTGAAGGGTCAGAACTCTGGTGTGATATTTTGCCAAAACACATTCCGATTTCAGTGTATTTTGGCTCATAAAGAAGTTTTACGCGTATCAGATTTTTTGTCCTGTGTATTTTGTGAAGTTCTCCTTGTTTAAAAATTATGGAAATCTTTCAGAGTCTGGCCAAACTCTGTGGGAAAATTCATATGTATGCATGCAAAATCAGCAAATACACATTATCATTACACAAATACACATAAACTATTCAGTTTTTATTCGGTTCGGAGATTACTTTCAAACAAAAACATAAACGTGTATAAAATTACACACACTGAAAGCTTGCGTTCTTGGAATCTTTAAACAAAAATAAAATAACATCTCTCTAAGACCATGTCTATGTTTTATACAGTGTTATCTCCATCTAATTGAATTGAACATTTATTTGAATTGGGAATTTTTTTTTTAATTGAACATTT